CCCATGTACCAGTCCCATTACACCCGAAGTCATAATCCGAATAGAAAATACCTCGATGCCAGTCTGAATGTAAGAATTATGTACAATCTTTATAAAGAAAAATGCTCAACAGAGAATGTAAGTCCAGTATCGGAAGCAATGTACCGAAATATATTCCATCGTGATTTTAATCTACACTTTCATACTCCATCTAAAGACACATGTGTGAAGTGTGATACATTTAAGGCAAAACTAGCGTGTGTCACTAATGAACAGGAAAAGACTGATCTAAAAACTCAGCATGCGTTGCATTTGTTAAAGGCTGAAAAGACAAGAACAAGTCAAGCTAATGACAAGGAATTGTCTATTGTAAATAGAGGAAAAATTTACTGTTTTACGTTCGACCTAGAAAAGGCTTTGCCTTTTCCGACATTAACCTGTTCCATTGCGTATTATAAAAGAAAGATGTACGTATACAATTTAGGGATACACGAGTTGGCCGAAAAAGAAAAGTATTTTATGTATGTTTGGGATGAAATCACTGCTTCCAGGGGATCACAAGAAATCGGGTCATGCATACGAAAGCATATTATGACAAACGCAAATGCAGCAAAGCATTGCTTACAGCGATGCTTGCGGCGGTCAAAACCGCAACTTCAAGCAGTGTTTGTTCTGGTTAAAATTAATGGCAGATACAGATATTGAAGTAATAGATCATAAGTTTATGGTGTCGGGCCATTCATTTTTACCAAATGATCGAGATTTCGGTCAAATTGGAACAGTATGCCAAAAATCGCTTAAAATATACACCTGAAGACTTCTTCTTCTTCTTTGGGTGCCGTGTCCCTATTCAGACGTTGGCCGTCATCATGTTTACCTAACCTAACCTAACCTGAAGACTGGTATACAACAATAAGAAAATGTAGGACAAAAAATCCTTTTTTGGTATACGAAATGAAAAAGGAAGACATTCTTTCCATAGCAGCGTTGGAAAACTCCGTAACTCGCCGCAAGAAAAATGAAAATGATTGTACAGTATCTTGGTTGAACATCCAGTGGCTGCATTTTGAGAAAGATCAACCGTACAAAATATTTTATAAGACCACTTTGAATGAAGACTTCAGTTTTGAAACAATCAGCATTTTTCCACAAAATAAAAAAGGTGCCCCTAAACTAATGAAAAATATGGAACTTACACCACTGTACCCTGCTCCACTTAAAATTATCGCCAATAAAAAAAGGATATGGTCGATCGACTCCAGTTCATACCACCCTTTCAACAGGAATATTTTAAGAATATTTTGGAAGACCCGTCGATTGAAGATATTGGACCCTTAGAAGAGGAAGAACTTATATAATTTTATTTTTTTTTGCTAATAAAATATTGTTTTAAACTCTAGTTATTTTTATTAGTTTTATTAGTGTTGAGAAGCAAAGTGGTCTATCACAAATTATTAAAAAACAAAAAGAAAAAATTAAAATTATAATGCTAATTTTACACCAATATCTAAGTTAACATGTTTATAAACTATATTTAACAAAAAAATTATAACACTTCTCGGGATTTTTCAGTTTCCAGTTTCAATTATATATATATATATATATATATATATATATATATATATATATATATATATATATATATATATTTACATCCTACTATCCTTAAGGACTCAAACCATAGCGCAACCTTACGGCCTCTCTTATTTCCAGGTGTATATAATATTTTAGTCGTCGTGTATATCGAAACAGGTAACAAAACATTCTTAATGCCCTAGTTTCTATTTGGATAAAACAAAATTTAACATATACTCTCCCCCTCGGTTCTCCTATCATTACCACCTCGTGCCGATTTCCGATTTTACAGCCTCATTAGTATAATTTTTATCCGTATTGTGGTCTTGGGGCCTCATATACACGACCTTATAGACTCATACGGTGTTGTCAATTCGCTCACTGCGTATTTCGATAATTCGGGGATTCCCCTCTTTCTTTCCTATTTAAGCCAAGAAAGTTATTTCTCATTTCGCGATTGTTTAAGTAATGGATACCTCAAAATAGATTTATGATCTTAAAAACGGCAAAAGTATAATATTTAAGTAACCTATATTTTAAACAGAAGCTTATAAATGACAAAATATTGTTATGATTTCTAAAAATTTGAACCTGATATTTATTGAAAGAAATATAATAATTTTGGTTATTTAACACGACTAACAGAGAACATTTGAGGGTCAGTCTGGACTAACAAATGTTTCATTTGAAGACCTTCTACTTGACACTGTGAAACAGAGCTCCGTAAGTGCTAAAGTCGCCAAAAAAAGACGTGTTGCAACAGGTGCTGAAGTCATCACGCACAAAGATGCAGCTCAATTATTGGAATCTACCAGCAAGTGCCCATCACACACTAACACGCCAAAAAAACAAAAGTCTCGAATCTCAGAAAGTTCTAGCAGCGAAAGTGACATTGAACCAATGTATGAAGAATTTGATAAGGATTCAAATTTCCTTGATGAGGAACAGGTAGATGAAACGTTCGAAAACCTAGAAAAAAACGCTTGGATATTAGTTAAATACTGCAGCAAGAAAACCATAAAATATGAGGCGCTCAGTGCCAAAGTGAACTAAGCGACAATTTGGAGATTTCCTGAATACGCTCTTAAATGAGTCCATATTACTTAGACTATAATGCCATAGAAGTCTAACAGACAAAATATAGTGGGGAATTTTTTATCAACGGTTATTTAGTTTGGCACTACAGTAGAACTCCAATTATCCGAACTCCGACTATCCGAATCGCCGATTATCCGAATCACTTTCAGAAAAAATCAGAAAATTGTCCAAAGTCCGCGGCGTCAGTGTATGCACAACACGTGCTATGAGTCACGGCGCACCTGTCATTGTTTGTTCAGTTACATTAGTCAGTGTGCTATTGACCTTGCTCGAAAACGCTACTCTTTCGCTACGGCTTACGTTTGTATTGTTTTTTACCATGGCTTCGAAAAGAAAACGTGTTGTGCTATCGTTAGCGGACAAACTGAAAATTATAGAGCAACTCGATAAAGGTGTAACGGGTAAGAAGTTGTCTGAGATTTATGGTGTTGGACAAGCAACAATTTGTGACATTAAAAACAGTAAGTCAACACTTTTAAACTTTGTTTCGGTGCTTGAAAATGAAGATGGAAGTTCCTCCAGGAAAACAATGAAGACAGCAACCAACAAAAATTTGGAAGATGCCGTGTTTAAATGGTTTTTGCAGCAACGTTCTATGGGAAATCCGATTTCAGGCCCAATCCTTTGTGAAAAAGCCAAAATATTAGCAGAAAAGCTTGGTTATTCATCTTTTAAGGCTAGTAACGGCTGGCTAAGGAACTTTAAATTCAGGCATGGTGTACGCGAGTTAGATTTGGCTGGTGAGAAGCTTTCAGCGGACTCTGCAGATGCTGAAAGTTTTATTGAAAAATTTAAAACTGCAGCAGAATCCTATGATCCGGAGTTTGTTTATAATGCCGATGAAACTGGCCTTGTTTGGAAAGCATTACCAAAAACCACTTTGGCTTCTAAAAGGGAATCTAGTGCCCCTGGACATAAGGTCAGTAATGAACGTGTTACAGTGCTTAACTGTGCCAACTCCACTGGAAATCATAAACTACCACTTCTTTTGATAGGAAAATCAAAAAATCCAAGAGCATTTAAAAACGTAAAAAAACTTCCACTCTTCTACAAAAGTCAACCCAAGGCCTGGATGACTGCAGCTTTGTTTACCGAATGGTATGATGAAGTGTTTATTCCTGAAGTGAAAAAGCACCAAAAATCGGTGGGAAAAGAAGGCAGTAAGGTGCTTTTAATTGTTGATAACGCACCCACTCATCCTACAGCAGAACTGTTGGAAAGAGAGAATGGGCAGTTTAAAATGACGTTTTTGCCTCCCAATGTTACAAGTTTGCTGCAACCCATGGACCAGTCTGTTATTGAAACACTGAAGCGCCATTACAGAAGGCAACTGCTGAGAAAACTGCTGATCGAAGGTGCTGAAGATGAAGAATTGGTTTTGGCAAATCATAGCAAAATAAATTTAAAGGACTGCTGTTACATGGTAGCGGAAGCTTGGAGTTTGGTTACGGCAGTGACGCTAAGACGTGCGTGGAATAAACTGAAAGGCCTACCGTCTGAGAAGAACAAAAAAAAAAGAAAATGAGAAACAAGAAAATGGAGAGGATGAAGATGATGAAGATGCGTTGCCACTAGAGGAAATGAGAAAAATGATTGTAAAAATTCCTGGTTGTACAGAAGTAAGTGCTGAAGATGTAGGAGAGTGGATGGCTTGTGACACGTCTGACCCTGGTTTTCAAATTCTCAATGACGATGAAATTGTTGAAAGTGTGAGAGAAGATGTTGAAGTGGAAGTGGAAGAAGAACTTTCTGCTGATGTTGAAGTAGACGCTGGACCATCAGCTAGTGAAGCATTTGCCGGCCTCGAGACTGCTTTGAATTGGATGGAGCGTCAGCCCGAGTGTGACCACTTGCAACTGCTCACCGTCAAGCGAATGCGTGACCTGGCTGCCCGAAAACGGATGAAGAACGCAAAACAGCTTACATTGACGGAGATGTTTAAAAGACAATGATTTTTATTTCTAAACTTGTACGTATGTTTGTATGTACATATGTACATTTTATTTACATTTAAAACATGTGAAAATATCATGTTTCTTTCATTTTATTCAATTAAAAAATAGTGCAATATCAAAACGTAGCTTTTTTTCTCTCCAATGGCAATTTTTATTAAAAAACTCCGATTATCCGAATAATTTGATTATCCGAATGGGTCCCGGTCCCCATTAATTCGGATAATTGGAGTTCTACTGTACTGTCAACCTCTGATACGTTCCATGCCAAACTGACTTAAGCGGCAAACACGCGGCAAAATACATTGTGTTTTTAAATAGGCTTGTGAAGTGATTTTTACATGCGACTTGTGGTGGTCAAATATAAGGAAAATGTTTCGTAAAAGGACATTAAAAATGGTAGAGAAGTGTACTGATGTGTTACAAACTGAGGCTAATAGCAAAGGTAAGCCATTATTAATTACAACCCAATTTAAATTATGTTTACATTTTTAGGTTATATCATGTAATCGTTTCAAATAAGTTCTATAGTTTTGTAAATAACGGGAAATAGTTTATGTAATTTATATAGGGCTACAAAATATTGTCTTTTCATGAATATAAAATTGTTAATCTGACTAAATGTACGACAGCAAAATTAAAATTAATATTTATAGTACATCCACTAATAATTTTCCAACATAAATATGCCTCACTCTGATTTCAAAGAGACCGCCTTTCAAATCAAGGTTGTCAGATATATTTCCTAAAATTCCTAAGGTTATATTTAAAAAATATTCTCTATTCTCTATTCGTTATTATTCAATTGCTAGTCAACGAACGACACTCTTAAAAAATAATATGAACATATTCTCAAAAAATATATCTATATAAATTAATTAACTAGGTACTAATATTTCCATGGACTCTTCACTAATGAATTAAAGCAACTGTGAACTTTGTATATATAACTTATACTCTAAGTAATTTTCGAATATCGGCAACATTGTAGTCTGGACAGAATTTCGAGGTGATTTCGATGTTCGGTCTATATCGACGTTGCCATGTTGGTGAATTTAGCGGTAATACTCTTATAGATATAATGATCGACTTTTAAGAAATCAGACAACTTTTAAGAATCCAAGTTCTGAAAAACGGTTTCAAGAATTGTATTATTTTTTTCCAAATTTTATTGATTTTATACCTTACCTGGAAACATGAAAAATTGCAGATATATTAATTATGGTATTAAAGTTACATTCAATAATTTTAAACTTGGCAACAGCGAAGCGCATCGCAATAAATCTTGATGGAACACCTGTTTGTCTGGCTATATGACACCCTAAATAGTTCATTTTGCAAGCAGCTATCAGAGGCGGATAATAAGGTAAGTAATATTATATTTTTCTAGGATGGCATTTTGGAGACCATTTGATACGAATGATCAAGATGCATCAACTTCTGTGTTATCAATAGATAATGACAATTATGTTAATGACAGCCCCGAATTAAAAAATAAAGATTTGCACGTACAATCCCAAAGAATAGTTTTAAATATGTATGAGTGTTTGAAAAAAGAAAATATTTTGATGGCTGATAATGCAATTGTTTCGAGAATTCATGTATTAACAAAAATCGGGTATAAGACGATATATACAATTATTAAATTAGGCATTGTTACAGATCATTCCTTAAAACGAAAGCGACCAAATAAAAAATTGGGTAGGATTGACACTGCTGCAAAAGACGTTATTCAGCGAACAGTTTACAATTTTTACAAAGAAAATAGAGTGCCTACTTTAGAACTGATTCGTGAAAAATTGAGAGATTTCCCTGAATATAATTATACATCTTTGGAAACACTGCGCGAGATTTTGATAAGTTGTGGATTTAAATATAAGAAATTAGATAATCGAATGGTAATAATGGAATCTCGGCGTATTGTTGAACTTCGACGAGAGTATTTGAGTAAAATAAAACAGTATCGTAATTCAAACAGAAACATAATCTATTTAGATGAAACCTGGTTCGATACGCATGATGTTGTCAAGTACGGCTGGGTTGACAACACAAACAAGTGTGCATTAAATACACCCTGTTCACGAGGAAAACGTGTTATTATTCTTCATGCCGGAAGCAAAGATGGTTTTGTATCTAATGCATTGCTATTGTCGGCCAAAAATATAACAAAGTCTTCTGCCGATTATCACGAAGATATGACAGCCGATTTATTTGAAAAGTGGTTTGTTGAACAACTCTTGCCCAATATTCCGCCGAATTCAGTGATTGTTATGGATAATGCGTCGTATCATTCCCGCATATTAAATAAAATACCTAATAATAACACGAAAAAGGACGAAATTTTAAAATTTATGGAACTTAAAAATATCACTGTTCCTAAAAAGATTCCAGTAAAAAAAGAATTAATTAGAATGATCAAAAGTCGGAATTTCAAAAACGAATACGTTATTGACACCATTTGCAGCAGGCACGGCCATACTCTTTTGCGATTACCTCCATACTATTGCATTTTTAATCCAATTGAAATGGTTTGGGGTACCGTAAAAAAACGATTGCGAAAATATAATCAGTCACCAACATTAAGCGCAGTGGCCATTGAGAATATTCGAGAAGTAATTAGTGGCATTAATAGCGATGTGTGGAAAAGTTGCGAAGCTCATGTTGTAAAAATAGAAAATGAATATCCTGTTTTACCGGCAATAGCACCAATAGTTATACAACCTGGGAACGATTCGACTTCAGAAGACTCTGACGATTCTTTTTAGTCCTTCTAATTAATTTCTTTACAGCTATCGCGATGCATCTTGAACACTAGTATTCATTATTATACAGTGTGTCGCATTTAAGATGAAGACACCTCTATATATCAGCTATCAAAATACATACAGATTAGAAATTTTGCAGTCATACATGTTGATAGTGCACATATTTTTAAGATAGTTAGTTATCTGAAATTTAAATTTTAAACGCGGCTTACTGCGAATCCACAAACAGGGTAAATTTTCGATATTTTGCTTCGCGTTAGAGAAATCGGAAAAACTTATTTGGAAAAGTTATTCCACTTATTGTAACCGCACATTCCAAAATTCATGACAAAATTCGCAATTTTAGTTTTTCAGTATTATTTGTAATCTCGATCCTAAATCTACAATTGGCTGTCTAAAGATGCATCTCGGGACAGCCAACTGTCCGTTTTAGAATCCTGACTACAATTGAAGAGCTTATTTCCAAAGTGTCTTAAATCCATATAATGAAATCCATGAAATTACAGATTTTCATACAAATTTAACATACAAATTATACAATTTTACAATTTTCATATGCACTTTTAAATGGCAAATAAGAAGTTGTTTTGGTACATATAACTTTATTTTAGACTTGAAGAAATCTATAAAGTTTAAAAAAAGAAAATTAAAAAAATCGAAATTTTGGATTTAAGACACTGGAAATAAGCTCTTCAATTAATGAAAAAAGTAAAAGTGCGAATTTTGACATAAAACTTTGTTATGTGGGGTTATAATAATATTTGGAACATCTTTTCCAAATAACTTTTTCCGATATCTCTAACTCGAAGCAAAATATTGAAGATTCACTCTGTTTGTGCATTAACAGTAGGCCGTGTTTAAAAATTAAATTTCAGTTGATTATCTTAAAAAATGTGAATTGACAACCTGTATGACTGTGCAAAATTTCAAATTGGTATTTATTCTAATAGCCGAAATATAGGGGTATCTTCATCTTAAATGCGACACACTGTATAGAGTCAGAACAAAAAAAAAACAAAAAACAAAAAAAAATATAAAAACAAAAAAAAAAATAATAAAAACAAAATGAAAAAAAAACTAACTTTATATTCTTACTAACATACCTAACCCTTTCCTTTCCTGGCAAGGAAGGCTCATACCTCCTCGTGGTCCTTGCTGGACAGACAATATTTTGAGATTTTCTGTCCTTGCTGGATAGACAATCTTTTAAAATTTTCTGACAGAATGAACCATTATTTACAGATAATTGTAAAAAAATATTATGGTTTATGTAAAAACTAAATAATAAGTCCAATATTCTTATAAATCACTAAAATTAACAAGCTTTAATTTGAAAGAATTAATTTGTTATTTATTAGATGTTGTGAGCCCGCTCACATTTGAAAAAAAAAACTGATTCTGTCCTTTGAAGATTCCTATTCAAAAATACCGCGTTTAAACAAATCGAAGGTTGAAGGGTGCCGGACATTTTTGCAGGAAACAATTCAAATTCAAAAGATCTCCTTTTTCTGCTACGGAAAATATTACCCCAATTTCTCACCAAAATCAATGTCGAGACTTTAGTTTAAATACTCTTGAATCTCAAAAATACTCATTTACATATTTTTCAAGCCTCGAAAATGCATATTAGGTATCGCATTTTTCGGATTTTAAATCGCCTATATCTCCAAAACTATTAACTTTTGAGAAAAATGACATAGATCTTATTTAGAGTCATCCAAAAACCTAAAAAATATTTTTTGGAGCACAAAAGGTGATATTTTGAATTTGTTTAAAAAATTGTTCTGTAAAAAAAATTTTCCTGAATATAATTATGTAAAAATTAATAAAAATTATGATTTTTCTTGAAATATGCGTTTGATGAACTGATCCCTTTTCTTAATTTCCACGCCAATGGTCGGCATTTGCATCAAAGAAGCTCAAAAGCCGCCACTTGGAAAATTGACTTTGGAAAAAGTATAACATACACGTTATGAATCAATCCTATGCGAGTAGTTTTTTTACTTTAATTCAATTAAATTGAGTAACCACTTAGCGACTTAAGTGTAAGAAGCTCAGGTATATACAGTAACATTAGTTTTCATTAATTTTGCGATTCTAAAAGCGTTATTTACATTGTTACATCTTAACATTTTTTATATTTTATGGCACTTATGCTACTTTGGCATTTTATCAACTGTCGCTTGGTGTTTTTTTGGTGGTTAGGCTACTATGGCATTGAAAATTGTCTTAAAGTTGCCTAATCCAATCCAATCTTTTCAGACACAATACAAGATGAAATCGAAGTTAGCATCAATAAACCCCCAATACCAGGATCTAACAGCTTTGATAAAAATAAGAAAATATTAATTAATCAAATTTCTGAAAATCCTAACATTGAAGACAGCCAAGAAACTTCTGTTAGTTTACTTGCTTTTGAGCACTCTTATAGTAGACCTATTTTGACTGGTTATAATGAGAATACAGGATTGACCGGAATACAGGAAAACAATGTAAACATATTGAATGAAGATGAAATAATATTTGCTGAGAATCATGAAGAGATACAGAATGATACAGAAGAACCAATCCATTCAAGAAAAAGAAAGAGGGATGAAAATAAATGGAAGAAGAATGTACGAAAACGCCTTAGAAACAGTGGACAGGAATATTTGTCAGTAAAAGGAACTACAGTTAGAGAAAAGGAATTCAGATTTTTTGAGTGCAAATGTAATTTTAAATGTAAGACAAACTTTCTTCCCGAAAAAAGAGAAGAAATACATAAATACTTTTACAATTTGAAAGATTGGAAATTACAGACAATGTACATTCAGTCACATGTTAAAGTGGGTGAAGTAAAGAGAAAGCGTACAAAAAATGAAACAAGAGGAATTTTTCACGACACTATTTTTTCCCGTTTTCAAATGTAAACACTGTAGAAGTTTGTAAGAATGTTTTTAAGCATACCCTAAGAATATCAGACCAAAGAATCTCACATGCCATTTTAAAAACAACACCTGACGATATGAGAGGTAAACATGAGCCCCATAATAAAACTAAAATTTCAACTCGTGAACACATAATTTTTTGAAAAAATTCCCTGTTTATCAGTCTCACTATTCTCGAAAGAAAAGCCCTCATAGGCTCTAACTATCACCATCTTTAAATATTAATATTATGTATTCACTGTATAAACAACACTGTAAAGAAGAAATCCCAGAGGTTGTACCAAGTAGCGATTACATTTTTAGAGATGTCTTCAATAAAGATTTTAATTATCATTTTCACCCTCCTTTAAAAGACACGTGCAAAACATGCAACTTACTAAAAAATAAAATTGACTGTTCTTCTAATGAAGAAGAAAAGTTAAACCTTAAGGAATAACTAGAATCACATCAAATATTGACCGAACAAACCAGAGAAACAATGAAGTCTGATGTTGCAATTACCAAAGCACTAAACAGTGATTCATTATTAATCTGTTTCGATCTGATGAAAACCCTCCCAACGCCAGATTTAGACGTTGGCATCTGTTATTACAAAAGGCAGTTATGGACATATTTATTAGGAATCTATGACATGACAACGGATGAAGTTATTACATACTTATGGAACGAATCTATAGCTTCCAGAGGCCCAGACGAAATTGCTTCATGCCTCATCCACTTTTTCAAATATCATGCTGGGGATAAATCTCATATAATCATGTATAGTGATCAATGCGGTGGTCAAAACAAAAATATAAAATTGACAGCTATTATGGACTATGTTGTAAATAGTAACGAATTTCATGTAAAAAAAATTGATCATAAATTTTTAATTCCTGGCCATACATATTTACCATGCGATCAGGACTTCGGATTAATAGAAAAGGCAAAGAAATACCACAAAAAAATTTATCTTCCTTCAGACTGGTCTGAGGTAGTAAAGAATGCATGCAAAAAAAGACCTTTTGTAGTTAATATGATGTCTTCTGAGATGTTTTTCTCTTCTAAACAGCTTTTGAAGCAAATTACTAATAGGAAGAAAACACAAGATGGTGAGAAGGTTGTCTGGAGAACCATGGTTCACATCTAAGTAAAAAAAGGCAGTAATTTAAAAATATTGTACAAAACTTCTTTCAATGAGAACAGTCAGTTCCATGAAGTGAATTTAAAAAAACGAGGTCCACTAAACCTTTATTCTTCTCCTCTTTCGTTGTTGTACCCCAATGGGCGTGCAGTTGACCAGAAGAAAATAAAAGACATTGAAGATCTAATGGTATTCATACCCCCAATTGCTCAAGAGTTTTACAAAAACCTCAATACTTCTGTTGGTGTTGAAGATATACTGAATACTTCAAGCAGTGAAGATGAAAACTAATAATAATAAATATTTTTGTAACTACTATTAGAAAATAAATAATTTATAAAATTTAATATTTTTGTTGCATTTTCATTTTTTTATAGGTTTTAAAATTTTTCTTTGTCATTTATAATTTATTATTTTTTTATTTGCATTCAATTTTATAGTATTTTATTATTGACACCATTATTATACATAGAGTGATAGCCTAACCACCAAACTTCAGGAGGAACCATTATGCCAAACCAGTCTAACCTCCATTTTTCTGTTTTTTTAGATTTGCTATTTATTTGTATGTTTTTGGACAATAAAACCCAATGTATATTGAACAGATTTCTAATTTCTATAAAATAAACATAATTTAATTAGAACAAATATCTCTTAATAAAAAATGGTGTATATTAATTCAATAATGCCATACCGACTCAACTACCAACAAAAGTAATGGTAAGAGCCATATGTCATCAAAACTTTAAATGCCAAAGTGTGCTATGCGCCTTTTATTATTATCAATAAGTAATATTCAGCTATATTTGAACTAGAATACCAATTGGTTAGTAAAAAGTATCAAATAAACGTCAAATTACTTTTTCTTTACTAATTAATAATTCTGAAAGTAAGTATGTTAGAAGTGCAAAATCTTAAAGCGCCATTTTCTCTGTTTTGTCGTTTTGGTAGTTAGTTCACTTTGGCGCTGAGCGCCTCATATTATGTTGGTAAAATAATAGAAATAGACAAAGTTCATCGCGAATGTGTTGTAAAGTTTTTAAGATTTAATGAGAAAGTCAAAAAATTTGATTGGCCTAAAACTAACGATATTGACACTATAACCTATGAAAACATAGAAATGTTCTTACCGAATCCTTTACAGGATGAAAAAAATTATCTGCAATTCGCCGTTGAATTTAATGGACTAAATATTGCTTAAGATTTTTATTTTGTAAATTTTTCTAATAAAAATGTTAATTCTGTTCTAGTTTTACGTTGATTTTATTCATATACGGGGTAAGATCGAATGCAGAGAAAAATTAGACATGTATAAATTTATGGTTTAAATAGTAAGAAATTTGAGTCAGTTTGCATCGTGAATTCACAGTGAACGGTTGTTTTCTCGTTTTTAGGTACCCGTTCGTTCCTATAGCATAGGATCAGTTAACAGCCATAGGCATCGTTAATAAGCTGATCGCTTGGACGAACGTTACGGCGAGAGATAAAAAGACAATAGGCAGGCGATAAGAAGCGACAACAATAGAACAATAGAACCATTGTTCGACGTAACGGTTTTTCTAAAAACCGTTAGCGCTCATAGGGCTGTTATTGTGTTGGTTTGGTGCTCCCGTCTGCTGTTTCGGAGATTCTGCTGGTCACGGTGAAGGCTAGGTGGATGGTATTGTAAGAGCCATCCGCGGCCGTAGCCGGGGCTTTCAGCCTCCGTTAGGGCGATAGGACGACCAGGTCCAGCATAGTAGCGGTTCTTTGAAAATTTTTAGGTACATTTAAAGAAAATAAAGGAAAATAAAAATTCAGTTGTGATCCAAAAAGTGCTGCATATTTTCATCTGGGGCAGTTCGTCTTTACACGCTATTAGCTAATTGGTAACTGGTGAAAGCATAGTAGGTGGTTGCGGTAAGAGAGGCCACCTGCGTACGCTGTAGCCGGTTCTCCCTGGTTACTAATTTGGTGTTGACTAGCTGGCCTAGGGTTAAGTGTGGTACTTGAGTCACGAACTGACTCCAGTGGAATTCTATATAGTTACTAATTGTAATTAGTAACTCGAGGAAAATTTGATTGGAAGTTTCATTAGTATACATATAAATTTCATTAGTACACAAGGAAGTGCACCGAGGGACCGACAGCTCATTTCATAGTAAGCATAGTCCGGCGACCCGCCATCCTATACATTGCACAGCGTATAGGAAAAAGGGTGTCTTCTGGGTGTACGCCTAGGTAAACCACTTTGTAATGCCGCGCTCGACCCGCTCTAATAGGTCAAAGCCGCGTCCTGCTGAACCTCCTGACCCTCCTCCCGTACATAATCAATCAATGACATCCGAAAACAGCAACGACGTAGCACCTGTACATTCACCGGACTTTCCACCATTACCCAACTCATATCAAAAACCAATATCACCGCTTCCTATTTCACCAATAAATCAATATATACTACCGACTCCTTCTACCTACACTATCCCTACAATACATATACCCGACACCAACAACACCACTCCTAAGATGAACGTCGCCACTGACAGTTTCGTCGAGGATCTGGTCACTACCCTCCCCATAGACCAAATCGACCGGTTGATCGCGCGTTTGCAGCTGTTCCGGTCCTCCCTTATCGCCAATCCCTCATCAACACCAACAAACACCTTAGCACACCAACATCAGCAAACATCTACCACACATACTACCAATATCCAACCTACACCACAACTCACACCGCAAATTAGTACACATATAAACAATTCCATCCCTCAACAAATCCCTTCCTACGCTACCGCAGCTCACACTCCTAAACCACAGCATCCACAAACAACTTCCCAACAACCAAAACACTTCAACTACCTTATTACAAATATCCCTCTGGAAAAATCCACTCAACGTGATTTTTTCAGAATCCTCAATACCAGAGAACTTCTTTTGAACCAAATCACCACTATTAAAGTCCTACCCACCGGAACTGCACACCTTACCACACCTCACCCAATAAATCACGTTGAAGTCCAACGCCGACTCCGTGATGCTGTAGGGGATCCTAAAATCCAGATCTCCCCTAAGCACAATCCAAATCCTTCAACCACTAAAAATACCACTACCCGTACCCACAATCCCGGTTATATGGTGGTCGTCAAGGGAGTTGACAGAATCTACTCCGACGTCGAACTAACCATCCTGTTCACACAACTAAACATCCCTGTCATACGTCTCTGGCGCATCATCTCCAGAGAGAACAAACCTACCACTTATGTCAAGTTGATCACCTCAAGTGAATCAAAATACACGGAGATGCTGACCAGGGGCGTGTACTTTGACGGCCTCCGTATGACGGCGGAACTACCCTTCAACTCCACGATATACAAACACAAGAGATAAGATATTGCGCATGGGACGCATACCGGTGGGCGGAGTCAACTACGTAAGCAACAGAGGCATTTCAAATTTTTAACGCATTATTGCATTGCATTCTTTCGTGTCGTCAACGTCAAACGTGGTTTGCTTTAAACATTTTAAAGTTTTTGTGTAACTTTGTGAATAATTTCATTAAATATGCGTTGTGCAGTTTTTGGATGTGGATCTGACAATCAATCTAAGAAAAATCCTTGCCCAGAAGTGAAATTCTTCAGTTTTCCAAAAAATAAAGAATTCTGTAAAAAGTGGATCCATTTAACGGGTAGAAAAGACAAATTTACGGTGAAAAACTCAGTTGTGTGTTCTAGACATTTTGTGGAGAGTGACTATAAAATTAATTTACAGCATAAACTATTAAATTACACACCAAAACGTTATCGCG